TCGTAGATCTCGGTAACTTATATGCGTGCTGAAAATTTGAATCGAAATCGGTTAACACAGAGTCGAGCTACGGCCGTTGAAAGATTTAGAAAACTGTAAATTTCTTCCAGTTTTTGATCAAAATCGTGATAAAACTGCCATCTTTAATTTATTATAACTCGTAACAACGTCAACTGATCTCGATACAATTTTCAGCATGCATTTTTTAAATTTTTGTTACAGACTCAGGTAAAAAAGTTAAAAAAACGAGAACTTTTCCTTCTTTTTTAGTCCCGCTATCATTTAAAACAAATTCAAGTCACTTAGCCCAGTTTTAAAAAAGTTATATATAACACTTTTGTGGGCCACTGTATATCGATAGGAAGCTGCCGCTCTGCTAAATTCTCTTATCCAAACACGGCCACAGAAAAAACGTTGTTTCTACACGTTGTTTTGTTGTTTCTCAGGAACACGTCAATATTCGTGTTTACGTACCATTGGATGACTTAAAATCGTCAGTGTTTGTTAACAAAATTCAATTTGAATTGAAACTCGATGTATGGTGAATAACCGACTTGTTCGGTTTGCGTATTTACAAGTATATATATATAGTACTATATATGTATCTCGAGTACTATATGAGACGCCGATTTAATTGATCTGCTTTATTTTCGTGTTTTCATGAATAAAACAAATTTTTCTTCACATTTTCGTTTCGGTACATAATTTCGTACGTCCGTGCGTTGATTTTTCACACGTGGATCAATAAGCACTGCGATAAGAATAGGTACACAAGTATAAGCAAAATGAAACTTAAATATTGTCGTTAGATTCACGAAGTATCACGTTAAAATGTTCAGCCGAAATAGATCGACTTGTTTATCTCGTGCCAATTGTTATCAGCAGACACTTTGGAAAAGGGAAATATTCAATACTTTTACAGACATAATAGTTCAGTATCTCCTATTCTCGACCTGTTAGTCTATCGTAAATTCCATGCTTAGAAAGAATTCTACTTAAGGGAAGTTGCAAAGCATCGCGTTAACTCATTTTTCTTCGGGTTTTCTTCTAAGGTTTCTACATTGTCTTTAAATTATTTATTACACTAAATAATGAATATCCGTTTCATTATCAAATAATATTGAGAAGAAGTATGTATTGCGGTTGCTTCAAATCATTTAATAGCAGTTTTGTGGTACCAACTTACACAATTCTTCCGATCAAGTTAGATCGTCGAATACCAAGGATTAGCGATTAACCATTCTCGAACCTTTTATTTATAACAAGCATTGGATGGAGTCATAAAACTCGCATCAAATTAAGTGGTTGTAAACGATAAGCGCATAGTGGTAATAAACGTCAAGTGATAATAGTATCGTAATTAGTATTAGCAAAATGAATTAGTTCCATACATTAAAAAAAAAATTCTACTTAAGGGAAGCTTGAATTCAATTAATCGTTTAATTCTACTATACTGGGAATTCCATCTAAGTCTCCAATAAGCTGAAATGGATAATTCTTCTAAACAGGGCGTCTCTTGTGCTTTCAAAAATTTTGTCTGTGCAGTAGTAGACCGACGAAAAGAAAACTGTTGCTCTGCACCTTTCACGTAAGTCATCGAGTAGTTTTCTTCCGTGTACACGTGTCTCTTTAGTACACGTTCGAAATCGTAGGCTCTAAAACCCTTTTAAGGACTGGTAATCGTGGTACAGTAATGTCTCCGTTACTGACGCTCAGATTGTCCACCAAAATGAGACATATGATTATTCGAGCATTGCGGGTCGTTTTTATAATTGTGGACAATTTATAACTATAAAAATAAACCGCAAGGCTCGAATAATCGTATCTCCTCTTCCCAAATTGTCCATTTTTGTGGTCAATCTGTGCGTCAATTAGAGAGACATTGCTGTACTTCCAAAATTAATATAAAATTAAAATTAATAAATCATTTTCTACTTTATTGGAACCATTGCTTGCAACTTCATGAATAAACATGTTCAGGATGCTGGTAGGTGATGCTGAGAAAATTCTCCGAGTACAAAAGATTAAACATAGTAGTACGTACAGTGGTGCAGGAAGTGGAGCAATGATCCACAAGTCGAAGACTCGCTCTATAGAGCTATAGCCTGGTGTAATTATTAAAAAATGCCTCCTACGTGTTAAGGTTATTCAGCGCATGTTAAATGTTTCACTTCAACCAATGTTCAATTATGTTTCCGTACTCGTAATGTACAAATATTAAGCTTGTGTATGTAGTATACACCTATACATACTTCAATACTTTACGAGATAATTGACTGCACCACTTAAGCGCGAACACCCCGCGTATGAGCGTACGAGTACAAGTACCAGTTCGAAGAAATGCTCTTTGATTTTGTCTATCAATTTACTATCTGCAAAAACCGAGTGCAAATTTCGATACTAGAACAGTATTGACTCTTGTTAGTTAGTCAACTGACTGTTGTTAGCGAGAATAGAAGAACGTGGAATACCGATCCGCAATAAAAATGTAAATATCTGTCTATTACATACACATCCGTGTCGAGAAGATTTCGTAATAACTTTCGAATAGTTCGAAGTTGCATCTTTATGTAAGACTAATGCAACAATCTCGAGGAAGTTAAAAAACAGTTTTCAACGCTTATCTATCGATTGAAGAAAAAAAACCAACACGTGATTCTTATAAGTAGATTTCAATTAAGCTGAACACGGATACGCGGACAAACCGATTTTCTGCATCATAAACAAAACATCTCTCTAATCCCGTCGTCGGTAAAAATGCGCGCGATAGAAAAACCTTGTTATCGTTTCCCGTGATCCATCTAACGAACATTCTGTTACCACATTCTGTTGCCTAAAGTTTAGACTGTATGCAATAACGAATTTAGACCGTGATACTTTACCGCGTGCAGTTACTTGTTAAATGGATTACGGTAACGAGGTTCGGAAGCAGATGCAGTTTTACGGAGACAGCTTGTATTTCTTCTTATCTGCATAAATGCAAGCTATTCCTATACATAACTGTTAGTATACATATCTCCCTCATGCGCAACGAATAATTGGTTTATCGGATTAAATCAGTGTTTTGTTCTAGTTTTGTTCCCGTGGACAATTTTTATGAAAGATTCGTTTGTATTCTACATAAAGGTAGTGTAACTTAACTTTTTTTCATATGCTTTTGATGATATGATGATTTCTGAGGATGTATTTCTAATGATTTCAGCGAATAAAATTACTCAGTTTACAGGATAATTTATCGTTTTATTAAAAAAAGAGATTAGAATAGATTTATAACAATTTCGAGCGAATTAATTGTTGTGAAGATTGCCCTAAACTATCTCAAGAATAATTTTAGTTTCCAAAAAAATTGAGATATTATTTCAAGGTATGTACGGAAGAAACCGTAAATAATACAAATCTACGAACTCTTCTCTTACGTCGATTATGACTACGTTTGTAGTTACGATTACGTTGCGACATGTGTGTTATAACTTATACATATGGATATGTACAATATATGTAGTATACTATGGCTACATGCTACAAGCATCTGCTACCCATCCGGCTCTATTTACCAATTGCCCTCGTTAATTTCACAACCTTTTGTTCCTTCGTGCTAATTGGACGGTTTAATAGTAGATTTCAAAGAAATTAAAATATCCCGAAACGGAGCCAAGTTGTTAAATGAAAAGAATTGGCGCTAATATAATGGGATGTGACAGTATCACACTTTCGAGAAACACGAAGTTTTTATTGAAATAAGACGATGTTATATTATACAATTAAGCTCGCCTTTAATGCTTTATACAAATTGTATAAACTAATTATGCCACTGGATAAAATTATCAAACTTCTACTTTAAAGAAAACAAAAATAGCTATGTGCATCATAATGTTTTCACGTATCTATACGTAGTTGACGAATGTTTAACCATGCAAAGATTACCGAAAGCTCGTTAATTTATTTATTAAAGCTCGTTAATTTTATAGGCTGCTTAATGATTGCATTATATCTTCTTTGGAATATAAAATTCCTCCTACTGGTATTGAAAATAATTACCGATAGATAATGAATGAATTTAGTTACGTCCTATTTTCATTAGAAATATAAAATGAATACTGAAACTCATTAGGTTACCACATTTCTAGCGAGATCATCGCTCGCCTTGATCTATTTATTTACCATATCGAATGAAACATAAACGATTTAATCGAATTAGTACCGGAAAGAAAACGATTTGATATAATCAACGGCCAGAACAGAAGATTCTTAATAACTGATTTCTGTAATTATGCATGCATATGTACATAGAAGTTATAGGGTGCGATTCACCGATTTCAGTGTCCTTACACAACTATATAATAATTTATAACTAATATTGTTTCATTTAAATGTATTGCATGAAGCATATACTGTACAATACAATCGTTATCGTAATTTATGTATATTTTTCCATGTTCTTCGATACATCGACAGCATAGCATACAAAATTACAATTATGCATAATTCATATCTGATATTTAAAAGATATTCTCGCAACAATTGAATATACATAATTTTAATACTCAGCGTGTACTTAAAAATAATTTATACATGCTGTAATTAGCCAAAATATCAAATAGTATTATAACTTTACATAATATGACACTGAAGTTTCTATTAAATTTATAAACTTCAAAGTATACTTACACGATCACTACTGAAATATATACATTTTTGTTAAAGCAATTTTGTTCTTTAAACGATTAATAAATTGAAACTATTATAATGGCAACATATGTAGTTTTTTTTATTACCGTTTTAAAATATTTCTTGTAAATCTCAAATAGAAGAGGAATGGTGCGTATGCGATCATGTTCGTTCGTTGGAGAGCTGTAATAGTAGTTAAGTTCACAGAAAAATCATTACAAGGAGAAATGAAGGAAAATATATTTATACATAGTTATTCAGTTTCTTTTCTAATTCTTTTATAGACGTATAAAATAACATTATATACTATATTTTCATACTATTTTTTATAGCCACACAATGCATCGAAGGACTAGGAGGATGTAAGAGATGCAGAGATAAGATATGTGCCAGATGCGCTGTTCTTCTACATCAGGGAAATTGTGTTGATACTTGCCCACCAGGTCACATTGCAGAATGGTCAACTAGAGATGAATACATGGGAAGAATTTGTAAAGAAACTGGATATATGTTTGGATTCACTGGTAGTCAGGTAGCCATCTTGGTAGGAGTTGTTTCTGGAGCAACTATTTGTATCCTTATTATATTATGTGGAGCTATAATTGTGCATCGTAAAAAAAGGAAAACTGCTAAATTTATACAACAGTTTGAGGATAGGTACATTTTAGTACACTATAATCGTAAACTGTAAGAAAATAATACTAATTATAATGAATATGTATTTTAACTTGTGTTTTAGTGCAGAGAGAAGAGAATTTTTGAAACATCTAACGTTGCTTAGAGGAGAAGGCAATACATTTCTTTCAATGCTCAATGACACTAGAAGACAAGTTAGGGAATTATATTATTCTGGAAATAATGGAGATGGTGCTGTTGGAATTCAAGCTTATAGGTATAATTTAATTGGTCTTAATTCTTAAATTCTTTGAATATAATAAAGAATTGTTTCATGTACTTGTAATGTATAGACCAGTCTTACGTGACTTGGCAAGGATACTAGTCCTTGTTAATAGAAGAGATGAAGAAATACCCATTCCCCCAGATGACTGGCAAAGATTATTCTCCTGGGCAGAAAGACTTTTAAGGCGCTATAAAAGACATAGTTCACCAGAGGTGAGTTAAATATTTTCTTAAATATTGAGTTTAGAAGAATTAATTTAAAAACATTTGTTTTAAATTTTTCTTCTCTTTCATGCAAGTCTTTAAAACATTTTGGTGAGTGATATGTATTAAAAATATTACTTTGATAATCATTATTATATATATATATATATATATATATATATATATATGTAAAAATTATAATCAATATATAATTATAAGTCAAATATTGTATACAAATTTAAAGGAAAATGTTATATAATGAATATTATTTTATATTTTAAGGTGGCTCAACTTGTGACTTTCTTGCAACAACCAGCAGCATCTGTACAAACGAACATGCCACAGCAAGTAACAATCTCAAAGACACATCGCCCATACGAGCTAAGAACTGCTCCGACTAATCTGACTACATTCCAAGCAAATATACCACTTGCAACATTTCAAGCAAGTGACAAATCAAGTATAAGTCCTGCAAGTTCCAGTCTTGGATATGTTAAGGACAGTCCTTTAAGTTCCAGTCTTGGACAGAACAGTTCTGGTGCATATCATGAAAAACTTAGTCCAAATGGATCTAGCATAGGACAGACAACCCCACTAGTATATGACAACCAAAAGCAAATAAAGTCTTCAAACACACATTTTCAAGAACTTGCCATTTCAACTTTTAACCATACTTTCTCTAATGATGCAACATTAACTGAATCCACTTGTGGAATAGGTCGGTGTGAAACAAATGGACTTGATCACGAATTAAATCCACAGTGGGAATTTCAAAGTTCTACAGAGGCTGCTAACTACACCATTCTATCTGATTGGTCACCTACTCGTGAATATTTAATTGATGATTTCACTATTCTTGGTTTTCGACCTCAAGATGAAATTACTACGGAATTGTAACTAACATGTTATTAAGTTAACTATTGTAAAAAATGTGTACATGATT